TCGGTTCCCCCTTCTCTACCCCACATTCCCTCCACCCTCCAGACCTCGCCCCTCTCACCACTGGTCCTGAAGGAGTCGTCTGTCCTGGATTCGAAAAGGACAGCTTTCAAAGAGACAGACTGACCCAGTGGCTGCAACAATGGGCTCGCCAATCTTAAGAAATGTGAGGAAGGCAAGAGAATAGGAAGTGTTTCGTTCTGCTGTATACAGGGCTGCTGTACACTGGGACGGACTCAACGGCACCTGACAACGTCATGACTGCTCTGGGGACTTCTGACTGATGGGAAATAGAAGTGCTGCGTGAGAAAAAGAGTAAAGTACTTACACCAATTTGTGTCGGGACTGGTATTATAAAAAAATGTGAATGAAACTCCAGAATCCTTGTTTGATTTTAACTCAGTCTTTTTAATGTAAGATTGAAACAGATGGTTACAGCAGTATTTGAAATTCCACAAACAACTACATGCTTTTACTATTAAAAGACCTTTGCTGAAGCACACCATTTTGTAAGCACACAATTGTTCACAACAACCTTCAGGATGCCCATTTTCTACCTTTTCCTATAGAGGTAGTTCTCCCCTTCCAGAACTAGACCACCACCAGCCCCATGGAAGGTTTCAAAGCTCTGAGCTCACAGGTTAGTATAATTAGTAGTCTGAAGCGTGCTTAAATGTTTAAAAACAGCAAACACCAAAGCAATATACCAGAGAGTGGCTATTATTGTTACCTTACGGTACATCGATGAAAACCTCAAGACTGAAATGCTCTGTACTCAGCATCGATTGGCATACCACTTTCTTTCTGAATGTTTCTTACGGCATCACAGGTGTTAGAAATTAAACAATACAGCTTCAACACTCCATAGTAATAATCATTTTCAAAAACTGCACTATACATCTGCATGTTACACTAACATTCACAGTTCTCTAACATTTGATCGTATAGTAATTCTTGGCCTCAAATAATAACATACAAAGAGCTATACAGGACAAGACACCACGGAACTTTTTAATACTCCCTTTCCCCAGTGGTTAGAAGGCAGCAATTTGTGGGTGAAGAGAGAAAGTGGTGGAACAATCACAAAGTTTGCATCCAACGTATGACCTCAACTTTCTACTTCCTTATCTTCTTCTGGTACCACCATACGCTAGAACGAAAAAGTAAAAATTACATTACTCTTTTGTGCCCAAAACTTGCTTCTCAATTACAAACGTCCTACATATTTACTGTTAGTAAATGAAGAGACTCTGAGAGGAGGAGGTGCTGGCCAGAGCAGCAGGCGTGGGAAGGACAAAATGCAAGCCAGCCCCACATCCCGAGTCATCACCAGGTTTACGCGATCTCCCCTTGATCCTCCACTTCACACCTTACACATTAACATGCTCTATCTAGTCACTGACCTTTATAAGGAAATATATATTCATACATTACACATATGAGGGGTACCCCCGCCAAATCCAGGATTATTTTTTTCAAGGTTAGGTATTTAAATTTTTTTACAAAACCTTATCACCTTCAAAGTACTCTCCATTACACTTAATACATTTGTCAAATCTGTGATTCCATTCTTGGAAATATTTTAGAAAGCTTGATTAACAGTCTGACCTGGTAGAATGAGCTCCAAATGCACTATCGCCCTCACATCAAAAAAACAAATGAGCATCAGGTTTGTGGGGGTGCCCCCATATGTATTTATCTATAGATATATAGATATCTCAGACCTTTGCTTTATACAAAATACTCTGTTAACCACTTCAGTAAAACTCAATACATGTTCAGTGAATTTTAAGTTTTCTAACTTCTACTTAATCCATTTCAGAGCTTAGAGATCATAGGTGTGGGAAGCTTTAAATCAAAACCATGCTTAGTAGTATAGCTGAAATTATGGTAAAACAAATCCCATTTGATTTTTTCTTTAAGTGTTTAGAAGTGGTAAGAAAGGATAAATCTGAATTATATTTCAAGCTCCGTGATTTAATATTTTTGGTAGGATGCCAGGTAACACTGCAATTGCTAAATACATAGTTAATCTTCCTCGTAAGTTCCAAAAACATCTCCATTCGTCAGTGCTACCTATCAGGAGCATCAGTGTTTTTTGTTCTCACCCGATGCTGTTCTGGTTTTTGTATCTGAGCCTGAATATGCTGAGTAGCTCCCTGCGCCTCCACGCAGTGGTGAGTATGCACGACTATTCCATGCACTGGAGTATGAGGAAGGATGAGCTGGGGAGTGCCAGGAGTCGGAAAAGGGTGTTGCTGCTCTGTAAAGACATGAAAATAAAGTGGGCAATTTCACTACGTTTTTAAAGTACATTCCTGTTCCTAAATAATCGTGGGGGGGGGGGGATATTTACTAAATGTGTTTTTCTAACTGTCCTGGTATATCAGGATTAACATAAATATACGATTTTCCCTTGAGGAACACAACCTGGTTTTAGACTAGTAGTCTAATCTAGTACTGGCTAACATCATCCCCAAACTGGAACTGTGCTATCCCCCAAAACCAAGTAGGGGACTTGTTATCATGGATTCCCAGTTCTCCATCTGGCTAGTTTAGTAGACTCATGTTACCATAATTTATCTTCTTTAAACGAAACAGAAAAGTTGAGTTAATAAACAAATGAGATAAAGGAAAAGCCTACCTATTGCTGCCAAATAAATATCCTAGTAGTCCTCCAGTGCCGAGCCCCGTCCAGAAGCCCGGTCCGGAATTGTCAGGCCCTTGCTGTCCTGTGAAAGCACTGCCAAAACCAGCAGCTCCACCATGGCCAGCATTCTGCGGTCCTGAACGTGAAAATGATTTACTTACAATCCCCCTCATGTAAGCACAACACAGGCTTAAGACAAGCGAAGACAAGAAAACTTTTCAATTATTTAATGTGAACCATCTATTAATAATAAGCAGGCCTCAACTTATAGACAAGTGTTATACCGAAAAGTATACTTGTAAAAAAAAATTAGGCACCTATGTTCTCTAGGAAAACTTAATTGTTTTACCCTTTACATTACAATCTACAATGCTTAATGAATTAATGTTTGTGTGTAGTATGAGATAGGAATTATAACAACTGCCTATCACCAAATCTGATCAAGGGTTTCTAATTAAGATGATTTATAATCATGCACTCTTAAAACAGTAACTTTATAAGAAGCAGAACAAAGACGTAAAAGAAACTGAAAGTGAAAGTAGATAAGAAGAGAAATGTGTTTTGGTTTCCCATACAACCATTTTCTACAAGGGGGCTTCAAAGAGTCCATGTAAAATATGCCATTATCTTTCGATTCCATTTATCAAAAAAAAAATTTGAAGCCTCTATTTTTCAGAAATGAGTAGAGGGTTCACTGTCTCACATCTACCCTACTAAGTGCCACCAATCAGAGAAACCTACCTGTGAACTCAGACTTAAAGCCTGGGGGATGGGCTCCCGCTGAGTTGGTGAATCTCTGGTATCGGTGGGAATATGGAGGATACTCAGAATAGGGAGGAGGAGAATCGTGACTATCACTAAGGAACAGCTTGTAAACTCCGTAGGCAACAGCGAGCAGCACCACAATGGTAATCAAGCCGCTGATGCCAGAGGAATCTGCAGTGTGCAACTTATTATAATAATCAGAGAAAGAGTTGAAACTGTGGCTTTTCCCAGATTCTCTCAGTTTCTTCAGGCCAAGTTCAGTATAATCTAAATTATACTCCAAGCCACAGGACCCACGCAGCACATACTGGTCTTCCGAGGATTCGTAGCCTTCACAGCTGACCACAGTTTTCCCAAATTTGTATGCAATATCTAAGTCAGTCTTACATTCCCACTGTGAAAAAACACAGAAATCGGTTATTGGGATCAAAGGCTTTTAACTTATACAGGGGAAATATATATACACACACACACACACACATATGCATAAATACATACATACATGTGTCATCAATCTGCAAGATAAGCAAGGGAGTGCTCATCAGATTTCAAGACAAAAAGTTCCATGACAGAGGAAGACAAAGCGGGCGTCCACAACACTAATGATGTTAGTGTTCCATTTCCTATATGATGCAGTGGGGATGTGAATGTTCATTCTATTCTCGCCCTGTAATCCTGCCAGTATCTCATATTCTTTGGCACGTTATCAAGTATTTCATAATTATAAAACTTAAAGCAAATATTTTAAATGTCACCTTTTCCTCACTGTGTTCAAAATGTGTCCTTTAAAAGGGGAGATTTTTCATTAAGTTTCTGAATATCCACCTAAGACACAGCTATCAGTCTTTGTGCCTGGAGTAAAAAGAATAATAGGAATCAAAGATCCAGAAAAGAAACCAGTCCTAAATGCTGAAAGTCAACACAAACCACACCTCAGCCACCCTGAGGCCACCAGAACTAGACAGTTGCTACCACTACCAACTGTTCTAATCAGGAACACAGTAGAGGGATTCTGACAGAATGGGAGCCAAATATGGGAGAGGACTTACATTTTTAAAAAAAATACAAATTTACTGAATTAGTTGAGACTAGAGCACTGCCCAGGGACTATCACCCTAAGGTGCTCTTTAAATCTTGAACCCAAACTATTCCATGAGGTCATCTTAGCCAAATAACAGACTGGCTCCCAAAGAATAACACCCTTGAGCACGTGCTCCTTTTTAAACATCATCGGAGATCAAAAAGCCAGCACTTACTCTAGAGCGAAGATGACAATGAGGGAACCAGCTGACAGGAACCAAACTGCCAGTGCAGATTTAAGAGAGTTGGTAAAACAATAAAATGAATAAGCTGTGTAAAAATTCCTAAACAGGAACTTACTTTTCTGTGTAAACTTTCAACGAAAGCACAATAAAATATTATCTTATAGAGGACCAAGGACATGGATCTGACTTGATCCGTTGGGGCCTGGTCAGCTGGTCCCGGTTTTCAACGTTTTCTGTATTTTGGTTTATTTGGGGAAGGTCTCAGAGGTTTTGTGTCATTGGAGCCACCCTCTTGAAAGTGTGGTTCATGGTTCTCTGTGCTTTGG